AGATGTTCTTGGACTAAAACTCCCAGAAGCCTTCACCGCTAGCTGTGCTGGCCAGGATTTCTGGGAGTTGAAGTCCAAGAACACCTCGGGGACCCAATGTTGGAAGCCACTGGTTTAGTAAGTAAAGAAACTTTACGTACGTGGCTACGTGGCCAAAGGAAAGCTAGATGGCTTCTACATTGATATTGCTTGGGTCCATGCTGGTTTCACGGGCGCGTCTGAACCTTGATGTGAAGGAACAACAGACTCTCAGCGACTCTGCCAGCAGGTGTGTTAGCCTGGTTTTAATCATCTTTCTTCCCCCCCCCCAATCCTTCCTCCAGGTCCGGGCATGGGTGCCCCATTGGTGACGGTTGCCATTGTGGCTCGGACCGTGGCCCAACTGTGGGGGAAGCCTTTGCTTGGGGTGAATCACTGTGTGGGGCACATCGAGATGGGGCGGTTAGTGACTGGCGCCCAGAACCCAACGGTCTTGTACGTCAGTGGTGGAAATACGCAGGTAAGAGCAAAGCGGACACTGTTTGAATGCGTCCATCTTGCTGCCAAGAATTGCTGGCTTTTTAAAGCCCTGTTAGCTGTCCTTGAGAAGGGCATCATCTTTATTTCCTATTGCATTTCCATTCCCCCTTTGTTTTAAGGAACTCAGTTTGGTATGATGTGTGTTGTCTGGTGTCGCCACTCAGTGTCCTTTGATTTTCACAACGCTCCTTGAGGTAGGCAAAAAAATGGTGGAAAGTCCTAAGTAGCTGAGTGACTTCAAGGAGGAGCTGAAATCTGTCTAGGTGTAATGTGAGGCTGTGACCATTATACAGTACGGTGGTGCCTCGCTAGACGATGATAATCCGTTCCACTGAAATCGCTGTTTAGTGAAATCATCGTCCAGCGAAAAGCATTTCCCTATTGGAATGCATTGAAACCTGTTTAATGCATTCCAATGGGGAAGAATCGTCATTGTCTAGCGAAGACTGGCCATAGGAAAGCCGCTTTGTGAACCGCCAATCAGCTGTTTAAATAGCTGTCTTGCGAAGCTTAGGCCCCGAGGGAGCTGTCAAAATCGTTGTCTAGTGAAAACTGGTTTGCGAAACAGGGACCAAACGTTGTCCAGCGAAATTCCCCCATAGGAATCACTGTTTTGCGAATCGCTATAGTGATTGCAAAAAGTCGATGTCTAGCGAAAAAACTGTCATGCGGGGTAACTGTCTAGCGAGGCACCACTGTGTTGCCTAATTCTGTGCTGCTTGTTGCTGGTCCTGTTCTAGCCTTTCTTTGTGGCAAAGAGTCTTCCTGCCTCCTCCATGGTGGTGTCCTGTTGTGCCTTGAACTCTACAGCATTTATCCTTTTTAAAAAGGGCTGTTGCATGCCCTTTCTGTCCCTCGGGGGGTCAATAGACAACCCATGGTTTTAAAGGCCTTTGCTGTGATTGTTTAGCTAGCCTCACAAGCACAGAGCCAGTGGCATGAAATACCCCTGGCCGTTTAGGGATGGGATGTAGTGGGAGCAGATCAATCGATTTAAAATATTTTTGCCCTACATTTCTCCTTAAAAGGGACCCAAGCCAGCTGAATCTACTAGACTTCCCCTTGGGAAGCCCCATTGTCCGAGTTGTTAAAAATAGAACGACTCGGCCAAGGACACAGTATGGCTGAAATCCTGTTGTGTAGTGTACTAAATGGCAACTAGAGTAAGCCCATTGGATTGTGTGATTTGGTGAGTCAGCTCCTCTGTAAGTTGCCCTGATTTAAATGGGCCTCCTCTAGTTGCAAGCTGGCTGTGGGTTAGGTCTGTGGCTGTAAAGCCAGAGGCTGAGAGTCGTTAAGTTGTGTCCGACTCTTCGTGACCCCATGGACCATAGCACACCAGGCCCTCCTGTCTTCCACTGCCTCCCGGAGTTTGGCCAAATTCATGCTGGTCGCTTCAATGATGCTGTCCAACCATCTCATCCTCTGTTGTCCCCTTCTCCTCTTGTCTTCACACTTTCCCAACATCAAGGTCTTTTCCAGGGAGTCTTCTCTTCTCATGGGATGGCCACAGTATTGGAGCCTCAGCTTCAGGATTTGTCCTTCCAGTGAGCACTCAGGGTTGATTTCCTTCAGAACGGATAGGTTTGTTCTCCTTGCAGTCCAGGGGACTCTCAAGAGTCTCCTCCAGGACCACAATTCAAAAGCATCAATTCTTCGGCGGTCTGCTTTCTTTATGGTCCAGCCCTCACTCTGAGTACTCTCTATTTAGAAAACCCTAGAAAGGGTCATCGTAAGTCAGAATGGACTTGATTATTATTATTCCTCTATTTGCGATGTACTGTGCTAAAGTAAGTTGCAGTTAGAGTAGCCCCATTTATACTAATGGAGGTGTTGGCTCACCACATCCACACTATTTTTGTGTGACCCTCCTGCACTAAACAACAAGATTTCAGCCAATGCGAGTGTTTTAATTTTCGCCACCCATTTTCTCCTCCTCCAGGTCATTGCCTACTCTGAGCGCCGATACCGGATCTTTGGGGAGACCATTGACATTGCCGTGGGGAACTGCCTGGATCGTTTTGCACGGGTGCTGAAGGTGAGCCACCAAGAGCAGAGAAGGCCTGCCGTTTACTTTCCTTGCTGGAAAAATCCTAGTTTGAGCACAGTTGAGTGTACATGGGATTAGCGTGAACTCCCAGTGCTGTGACGGGAAGCTTTAAGGTCTTTAACGATGGTGAAGGTCTTTCTCCTGATCCAAAGAAAGCAAAGCTCAGAAAACACACGGTGCAAAAATAACAATTCCATCTTCTGAAGCTGAGCTCTGAGCATCTGAATCCACCTGAATCTCGGGAAGAACTTCCTGACCGTCGGAGCTGGTCAGCCATGGAAGAGGCTGCCTCGGAGTATGGTGGAGTCTCCTTCTTTGGAGATTTTTAAGCAGAGGCTGGATGGCCATCTGTCAGAAGTGCTTTGGTGGAGCTTCTGCATGGCAGGGGGTTGGACTCGATGGCCCCTGTGGGGTTTCTTCCAACTCTGTGATTCTATGATTCTATGATCTGTCTTCTTTCCCTTAATATTGCATTAAAAGGAAATGCAACATTTGTGGGATTATAGCTTCTGGATACACATTACAGTTTCCATGTAGAGTTTCTTGACTTCTGTTTATGTACCTTTCAGAGCAACCCTCTTCCGTTCTGTAACACTTCATATTTCCATGTGTTCCAAATATCTACTTGGTGATTTCTCCACATAAATAGCTCCTAAATGTACAGGAACTTTTTTTGGGCCACTTGGCAGCTTTAGATGAGAAAATGCCAAATGCAGGGGAGGGGAATCAGGAGACAGGTCTCTCGTGGTCTCTTGGGGGGCCAGTGAGAGGCAGCGAGCTGGACTCGAGGGGCCCTTGGCCTGATCCAGCAGGGCTCTTCTGTCTTTCCTATGTAACAGCTCTATTAGCTGAGCGCTCTGTCACTTAACGGGATGGAAGCCAATGCACCATAAAGGAAAATCTGTTAGTTGCTCCTCTCTTTTCCTCGTTAATCTCCCCTTGTCTCTCTCTCTCTCTTCTTGGTGGCTAGTTTTGTGTAAGACAGTGGTTCTTAACCTTGGGTTACTCTGGTGTTTTTGGACTGCAACTCCCAGAAGCCTTCACCACCAGCTGTGCTGGCTGGGGTTTCTGGGAGTTGCAGTTCAAAAACACCTGAGTAACCCAAGGTTAAGAACCACTGGTCTAAGAGTTGCTAATTTTGTGTAAGAGCTGGGTGAGGTAGTAAGGACTATTAGTCACCAAGAACAGAGATAATCTAAGAAGAGGCTTCTCTTTCCCTTTGTATATATAATTTCCAACTCCTAAATTTTAGATTCCTCCAATGGTTTTCAAATCATAATTTCATTAAGCAAGACTGGGCGTGTAAGGTTCATCTCGTTATGTAATCAGTCTTTGAACTAGATCTTAACTCCTTGATTAAATGGCCTTCAGGATGAGAAGGAGGGTGATGATGCCTATGGAGGCAGGCCAGTATGAATTTCTAATCATTTTGTGAAATCTCTTGGTTTAGATCTCAAATGATCCGAGCCCAGGGTACAACATTGAACAGATGGCCAAGAAGTGAGTAATGAAGACAACCCAATTCTCGTCTGCCTGTTTTTGATTTATGCCAGCTGCTTCATTTCTGAAGACAATAATGCTAGGAAAAGTTGAGGGCAGCAGGAAAAGAGGAAGACGAAATATGAGATAGATGGGTTCCCTAAAGGAAACCACAGGCTTGAATTCGCAAGAGCTGAGCAGGGAAGTTGAGGACAGAACATTTTGGATATATAGTGGTGCCTCGCATTACGATGTTAATTCGTTCCAGCAAAATCGCTGTAGAACGCAAACATCGTAATGCGAAATTAAAAAGCGCATAGGAACGCATTAAAACCCGATTAATGCATTCCCAAGGTCTTGAAACTCACAGTCCAGCGAAGATCCTCCATAGGGCGGCCATTTTCGCTGCCTGTGCAGCGAGGAATCTGTCCCAGAAAAGAGCGGGAGCCATTTTTTTTACCCGGTGGCCATTTTGAAACAGCCAATCAGCTGTTTTAAAATCATCATTTTGTGAGAATCGGTTCCCAAAGCAGGGAACCGATCATTGCAAAGCGAAATTCCCCCATTGAAACCATCGTAAAGCGATCACTTTTCCGGTCGCAAAAAGTTCGTCGTAATGCAGTTTTGTCGTTAAATGGGGCACCCGTCTTGCGAGGCACCACTGTAATTCATTCTTAGAGTAATCATAGCTCAGAGCTGATTTGATGGCACATGACAGCTTCATTTCTGTGGTGTGTGTTTGTGCACGCTCGCCTATGCCTTCTTCATCTGGAGGCAAAATGTTCAGTATATTGGCCCAGTAGCAGATATTGGTAATTCATTCTTAGAGTAATCATAGCTCAGAGCTGATTTGATGGCACATGACATCTTCATTTCTGTGTGTGTGTGTTTGTGCACGCTCGCCTATGCTTTCTTCATCTGGAGGCAAAATGCTCAGTATATTGGCCCAGTGGCAGATATATAGATGGGAGAGCAAAAGGATGAAGGATGACCAATTTAGTCTGGAACAATTAAGAGAGTTATCTATGTTGCCCTGAAAAATACAACTTCAAAGATTCTTTGTGAGTTTCTAAGCTTTCTGCGCAAATACTACCTTCATTTCATCAATCTTCATGTATAATATTTTGCTAAGCAAACTTACAGATTGAAAAGCCTTGGAGTGGGGAACTCTTTCCTTCCCCCTTGTGAAGCATGATGCCTATTATGATGATGATAAGAGCAACCACTCTTAAGAGGGGTTTGTATCAATTTGTAATACCCTGTTTCCCCGAAAATAAGACAGGGTCTTATATTAAATTTTAGCTGCCAAAAAAAAACCACACACATTAGGGCTTATTTTCAGGGGATGTCTTATTTTTTGTTTTCATGTATAGCGATCTGCATTTATTCAAATACGGTAATGTCATCTTATTCTGGTTGCTGCACAAGGGTGGAGGGCGGGGTTTCACTGAACTGGGGCTTATTTTGGGGGTAGGGCTTATATTAGGAGCATCCTGAAAAATCATATTAGGGCTTATTTTCAGGTTAGGTCTTATTTTCGGGGAAACAGGATAGTAAAATATCATATTATTCTGCCCCTGTACGAACTGGGGCTTATTTTGGGGGTAGGGCTTATATTAGGAGCATCCTGAAAAATCATATTAGGGCTTATTTTCAGGTTAGGTCTTATTTTCGGGGAAACAGGATAGTAAAATATATTATTCTGCCCCTGTAAGTTTTCTGATGGCCAGGGCTTCATGTGGTCCATCCTAGGGAAGATTCTTTTTAACACCCAGCCTTTCTGTCACAAACTGTCCATTTGCCCTGAGGTGCATGTGTCTGATTCTTTTCTCCACCTCAGTGAGGACTAGAAAGTTGCTGTGCCTTTTATCTTGTTCTTCCTTTTAACAAGCACAAAGCGAACTGGGGTTCTAGAGAGACCCAAGTCTCTGGTAGTTTTAAAAAAAAAGTCTTCTCTCTCCTCAGGGGTCAAAGGCTGGTTGAACTTCCATATACGGTGAAAGGCATGGATGTCTCTTTCTCCGGAATCTTATCCCACATTGAGGTAGGATCTCCTTTTGTGCTTTCCTGTCACACCTTAGCCTTCCCTGCTTTTTTCTTTTATGTTTTTCTCTCACTGAGTCCACATCCCACCCCCATGGATTCTTAACAGCTGTCGTCGCACAACAGGCAGAAATTAGACAGTGATCTTGAGTTGCTCTGGGTCCAGAACAGAAGAAGGGTTTACTTTTTGCCTGTTAGAGCAGCTGTTGAAAGGAACTTGTTCCCTTCAAACCCTGTTGGTAAACATCTCAGAAGCCGCTGGTTGGCCACTATAGGAGGAGAAGATGGAATCCAACATGGCTCCCCTTTTGTTCTCAGGTGCACGTAAGTCTGGGTTGAAGCTAAGAAGCGGAGAGACTTTTTCACCCCTTTTCTCTCCTTGTGTTTCAGGAAGTCGCCCACAGAATGCTAGCTGCTGGGGAATGTACTCCTGAGGACCTCTGTTTCTCCTTGCAGGTGAAGAACCAACCTGACCATGGTCTAGATAGCAATTATTGGTCTCTCCTATTGGACGACAGCAGTCCTGCTTTGTCCTTTGAACGGCTGTTTTGTCAGTCAAGAAATTAAAAGATAAAGGTGGTTTTTGAGGCTGCTTTAAAAGGGCCAGAATGGGGAGGCAGCAGATGCTGGGGAGGGGAGGGATGGTAGCCACCTAGCCATTACAGTGGTGCCTCACTTAATGACGATAATCTGTTCTAGGAAAACCGCTGTTAAGCGAAAACATCGTAAAGCGAAAATAAAAACCCCATACAAACGCATTGAACGGTTCCAGTGGGGTAAAAACTCACCGTCCAGCGAAGATCCTCCATACGGGAGCCATTTTCGCTGCCTGTGCAGCGAGGAATCCGTCCCTAAACACAGAAGGAGCCATTTTAATTACCCAGCGGCCAATTTGAAACTGCCGATCAGTGTTTAAAAAACATCATTTTGCGAAGAATCGGTTCGTGAAACAGGAAACCGATCATCGCAAAGCGAAATTCCCCCATTTAGACCATTGTTTTGCGATCACAAAAAGATTGTTGTAAAGCGGATTCGTCATAATGCAGGGCAATCGTAAAGCGAGGCACCACTGTAATCCCAAAGCTTCAGCTGATCCCCTGTGGGTGCACATCACAAAGCCTGTGTTGAAGCCTCTCAACCTGTCTGCTGTCCTGGAGTGTGTTCGAGGAAGCTATCCTGTTGGCTAGCGTTGAAGTGATGCTCTCAACTGCTGGTCCTGTTGGTTTCCGTATTTGCCATGGAGTCCATGTGCCATCTTGCCCTCTTGCCTTAGTTGGCCAAATGTTGTTTTCTTCCTTTAGGCCAGTGGTTGCCAACCTAGGGTAACCCAGATGTTCTTGGACTACAACTCCCAGAAGCCTTCACCGCTACCTCTGCTGGCCAGGCTTTCTGGGAGTTGTAGTCCAGGAACATCTGGGAAACCCAAGGCTGAGAATCGCTGCTTTAGGTTATCGTGCGCTTCCAAGTGAACCATGAAAGCGCTGATGCAGCTCTTCAAAGTTGCTTCCCTGTCACAGAGGGACCTATTTCCTAAATCTTCTCCTTCCCACCTAGATTTGCCTGAACCACTCGTTCTAGCCAGGAAGGGCAGTTGAGAGACCTAACGCCGAGGGAGGCCCGAAGGGAAAGAACAAGAAACCGGGCCTTCTCGGCAGTGGCCCCTCGCCTTCGGAACAGTCTCCCCTCAGAGATCTGTCTGGCTCCCTCGCTGGGTGTTTTTAAGAGCCAACTTAAGACTTGGTTCTTTAGGCGGGCTTTCCCTCCAGTCATCACTTGAATATTTTTTTTCCTATCTTGAACCATATTACTACTGGTTTTTTTTATTTATTGTGTGTTTTTATTATATCTATAGGGACCTATTTCCTAAATCTTCTCCTTCCAGTCATCTTGGGAAGGAGGATGTCTCTTGCACGCAGAGGCAACGAACCTGGGACCCGTGGCCGGGCAGAAAGCCAAGCACAGCTACAGCCGAATGAAGACCGTTGTGTGATCCGGTCCTCACACTTGTGCAAAACTGTGATACCCAAATGGTACCTCTGAATCATTTTTGGTCTTCTTCTTTCCTCCCCTCCAGGAAACTGTCTTTGCAATGCTTGTGGAGATCACAGAACGGGCCATGGCGCATGGCGGCTCCCACGAGGCGCTCATTGTGGGCGGTGTCGGCTGTAGGTGTCCCAAATGAGTGTGGCATGAAAGACCAAAGTCCCTGCCTTTGTTCCCTTCCAAATTCTATCCCCCACCCATGCGCTTCAGCGAACAGGTTATCGAAACAATTCAACCTCAGGTGCAGCTCTTGACATGCTCCCCCATTTGATTTCTTTCGTCGGCCTCGAGTTCAGGTGGCGGACTCAAACTTTGGCAGTTGTCGTCCAAAGAGAGAAAATTTCCACCCCTCTAGCCTGTGCAAAATCGGACCATAGGAGCTGTTTTTCCAGCCTCTAGTTCTGGGGTTCCCCACCCTGGATCATCCAGATGTTCTTGGACCACAACATCCAGAAATCCTGACCAGGACAGCTAGTAGTAAAGGCTTCTGGGAGTTGCAGTCCGGGAACAACCTGGGTGACCCAAGGTTGGGAACCACAGCTCTAACTGTTTCCCCTATCTTTCCCATCATTTCCCTCTCTAGAAACAAATATTATTTCCACATTGACATCACCTCCACCTCCAAACACATCTAGAGAATTTAATTTCCAGTTCTTAAATCTTTCCATTTTTTTTGAAATCAGAGATTTCTCTTTATGTATCTCAATCCACCTCCTGGGTCACATCTGCAAAATTTTCTGTGTTCTCAAAACATGTGACTGCAGCCTATCCCCTTCCTTCTTTTTCCATGCCATCTGTTTCGATCTTACCCCATGTCTTGTGAGCACAGAGGTCTGCTCGTGTGCAGCCATGACCTCCCACCTTCTCTCTTCTCCAGGTAATGAACGCCTCCAGGAGATGATGGGGATTATGTGTCGGGAAAGAGGAGCCAAGCTATTTGCGACCGATGAAAGGTAAGCGCCCACCCACCCGTCTCACCCGCCCTCATCTAGAGAGCCTCCCAAACTGAAGTGGAGATCCAAAATTGTTTTGCTTTTAAAACAGAGCATAGTGATATGCTGAAGCCATCCGTAGGAGGGCCACAAGGATGATTAAGGGACTGGAAACCAAGCTCTAGGAGGAAAGATTGAAACAACTGGGCCTGTTTAACCTTGAGAAAAGAAGACTGAGGGAAGATAGGATAGCACTTTTCAAATACAGTGGTGCCCCGCATAGCGATAATCCGTTCCAAAAAAATCGTCACTATACGGATTTGTCGCTATGCGGGGCAAAAAAGCTCATAGGAACGCATTAAAACACGTTTAATGCGTTCCTATGGGCAAAAAACTCACCGTTCTGCAAGGATCCTCCATGTGGGCGCCATTTTTGCTGCTCGGTAAGCGAGGAAAGGGCGCGAAAACACTGCGCGTGGCCATTTTCTTTACCCGGCAGCCATTTTGGAACCGCTGATCAGCTGTTTAAAAAACATCGTTATGCCAGAATCGGTAAGCGAAATGCTTACAGATCATCGCAAAGCGATATTTTCCCATCTAAAACATTGCAATGCGATTGCTTTTGCGATTGCAAAAAACACATCGCTATGCGGATTCGTCGTTAAATGAAGCGCTCGTTATGTGAGGCACCACTGTATTTGAAAGGCTGTCATACAGAGTAAGGGCAGGATCTGTTCCTGATCATCCCAGAGTGCAGGACACATAACAATGGGATCAAGTTACAGGAAGCCAGATTTAGGCTAAATATGCGGAAATATTTCTCAACTGTTAGAGCAGTTTGACAATGGAACCGATGACCTCAGGAGGTGGTGAGCGCTCCAACGCTGGAGGCTTTCAAGAAAAAAATGGACAACTATCTGTCAGACCTGCTTTGATTTGGATTCCTGTACTGGGCAGAGAGTTGGATTCAAGGTGGATTGATAGCTCCATTATTCTATAATTCTTTCATAATGGAATACAGTAATAGCAAGATAGTACTCTAGGTCTCAGAGCATCATCCTACCTCCGTTCAGTTACCAATGGTGTCAGTGCACCACCATCATCACAGAACCGCAGAGCTGGAAGGGATTGTATGGATCATTGGGTCCAGCCCATCAAGAAGGCCCAGCGGGGGGATTCAAACTCCGCAGCCAGATCCCCTAAACCACTGAGCTGTCTAGAAGTTTTTAATTGGTCTTAAATGTAACTTTCTAAGTTCTGTAGCTTTTTTTATTTTTTATGGGATGGCAGGAGGAAAGGTGTTCCTCAGTCGCCCTCAAATTCACGTCTGGTTAGTTCGGCCGGTGTTCTGTAGCTAGATTAGCAATGAGAACGACCAAGGACCTTAAATAGCATTCAGTCCGGCTAGATTTCTTGCGGCAACTTGCAAAACTCTTGTCATCTGATCCATGGTGGGTAAAACAAACCTATTGGATTCTGTTTTTGTTGGCCTCAATCAAGACAAAGGTTTGCTCTCCCGCTGTGTTTGTTAGAGGGCCATCTTTAAAAAGATGGGAGTTTTTCTGCTAAAGTTATTTCAAAGTTGCATCGCAGACTGGACTGAACTTATTTTCAAGGCCTTTTGGTCCTAGTGTTTACAGATTGGAGTGAAAAGAAAAATTAAATCTAGAGAGCCGTTCCCCCCCCCCAGATCTGTCACCCCACCCTCTCTAACCATTCTCTTCTCCACCGTCTTTCCATTGCCAGGTTTTGTATTGACAACGGAGCCATGATTGCGCAAGCCGGCTGGGAGATGTTCCAGTCCGGGCAAGTCACTGCTCTTGAGGATTCCTGGATTACGCAGAGGTGATAGTGGGCAAGGGACGGATGGCAGGGAGCTTGCTATGTGATGTGTAAAATTAAGAGTAGATCTGGCAACCGCTTGATCTAAGCACCACTTGTGTTTGGGGTGCGACAGCTTTTCTTTGTTAGCTGCGAGTTCATCAAGGATGTCACCTGACCAAATAAACTTTTATATGAGTTTTAACTGACCAGTTGCCGTATTTTTCTGTGTATAAGATGCCCCCATGTATAAGATGCCCCCCCACTTTTCTAATCCAAAATTAAGAACTCTAAGTGGGGCTTAGCAAGTGGAGGGGAAAAGGGATAAAAGCGCTGCAGGATAGCTTTGATCCCTGCATTCCCCTCCACTTGTTTTTCTCTCCTCAGCTTACTTCCGTGTATAAGACGACCCTCAATTTTTAGTCTAAAGATTTTAGACAAAAGTATAGTCTTATACACAAAAAATACGGTACATTAGCGTACAACTCCCCCCCCCAAAGGAGTATAACAACAACACAGAGCAGTACAACAGTAAATGGTTCCAGTAAATGGAACCATTTACCTCGAGAGGTGGGGAGTGCTCCAGTACTGGAGGCATTCAAGAGAAACTTAGACAACCAGATCTGGCAGATCTCCTTTGATTTGGATTCCTGCATCGAGCAGGGGGGTTGGACTTGATGGCCTTAGAGAGCCCTTCCAACCTCACTATTCGATAATGCTATGATAACAAGGCAGAAGTGACGCCATATTAATGCATTCTGCTTTTCCACTAATTTTCCCTTTGTGCATAAAGAATGACAAAACATTATAAGATGCCCCCCCACTTTTCTAATCCAAAATTAAGAACTCTAAGTGGGGCTTAGCAAGTGCAGGGGAAAAGGGATAAAAGCGCTGCAGGTTTATGCCTAACGTATATGCCGATCTTGTTTGGGTGTAACAGGGGGGTTGGACTTGATGGCCTTAGAGAGCCCTTCCAACCTCACTATTCGATAATGCTATGATAACAAGGCAGAAGTGACGCCATATTAATGCATTCTGCTTTTCCACTAATTTTCCCTTTGTGCATAAAGAATGACAAAACATTAATATCTTTGCAGGCTATCTGGATATGGACTCTTGGTTTGTTGATCCAAAACAAGTCAAGATTTATAAGCTAACGGCAAACTCTCATTTATGCCTAACATATATGCTGATCTTGTTTGGGTGTATCAAACTAGGAGCCTAATTTTAAATGACATTCAGAACCTTCCATATTTTTGGAATTGTTGTTGTTAAATCTGTTTACTTGAAGTGGGGAATGAACCAGCTGTGTGTACAGTTACATATTGTGAGTGTGGTGCAGTGTTGGATTGAGATTCAGGAGGCCCGAGTTCAAATCCCTGCTCAGTCATGAAAACTCACTGGCTGAACTTGGGGCAATCAGATGCTTTCAATCTGCTCTACCTCACAGGGTCTTTGGGCGAATTAAGAGGAGAGGGACAGGGTTGTGTATGCTATTTTCACTTCATAAAGGAAAGGCAGAAAATAAATCATCATAGTAACCAAGAGAAGTCAGCTGCTCTGTCTAATACGTTGCTGTTTTTTCCAATGTCTCACAAAGAAAGAAATGCCTTACATAAATCCTCTGACTGCAGATTTAGCCTGTGGTTTCCCTTTTCCGTGCAGGTATCGTACAGATGAAGTGGAAGTGACGTGGCGAGATTAACTCCTTCCGCCAAAGCCACCGTGTCTTGGACTGGAAGATGAACTGCAGGGGACAATCTGAGCTATCGGAATTCAAGTGAACTTTAAACAGGAAACAAATTCAACCTGGAATTAAATGCTTTGGTTTTGAAGAAGGATTGTTGTGTTTCCCTCCGAGGCTAAAGAAACCATGGAATTCACCTTGTCTGTCTCTCCTACCCCTCAGAAGACAAGGGGTAATTTCTGGATTGGGTTGCTTGAGCAACACAGGAGAACCAGAGATGGGGATCCTTGTTTTGCATACAAATGGGCCAATTCCCCAGATCTCTGTTTTCCATTCTCTAAAATGAGGCATCGATTGGTTTCAATTTTTCCTTTCAAATTCAGTTTTCTCTCCACTTTGTCACTGTCACAGAGGAGAGGAAAGTGGCTTCTATGGGGTCAGATCCAACATTCCCTCTAAGCTGTGCGGCCACACAGTGCTGGATCAGGGCCTGCCCATTTGCTTCTGGTCACAACCGGAACTCCCACAGACGGGGGGCAGGGTCCCCGCCCAGCACTCCGGAAAATTACAGGGAATGTTGGTCAGACCCTTGGTTTCCCCCAGATCAGTGGTTCTCAAACTGGAGTCCACAGAGCTTCTTGGACTTCAATTCCCAGAAGCCTTTGCCACTAGCTGTGCTGGCCAGGATTTCTGGGAGTTGAAGTCCAAGAACCTCTGGGGACCCCAGTCTGCGAACCACTGCTCTAGACCAGTACCGCCAATTCTAACCTTCTCTGGTTTCCAGAGAAGTCAGGCAAATTTCTTTCCAAGGCTTGCCTGGAGATGAGAGGCATTGAAAGTGAAGCCCTACGTCCTGGGCCTTAGTCCTCAGCATTCTCGCCTACCTCATCACTATGCGCGCTCCATGATTTTCAAGTCCTTAGTACTAAACCTCTTCTGGTGCTGGAATCCATCACCTTTTGGTCGGTTTTTGCGAAGAGATGAAGAGCTCCCGTGTTAGGATCGGAAGGCTACTGTGAGGCAAAGAGTTTTTAAAGCAGGAGTCGGACCACTCGTGTTAAATAACAATATTTAAAATTTAATATTTACAGGTAGGCCGTTAAGTAAACACAGAACCCAGGGAAAATGGCCACCGTGGGTCTTGGTCCAGGAAAACAAAGGGGAAGGGATTGACCACTGCTGCGAAACTGCCTGATCACACTGCGTTTCTTGACAACAGCTGATTTTCCGCACGCCACGAACACTCTGTTGTTGCCTCCATGAATATCTGTCTTGCCCAGGTTCCTGCTTTCCCACAAAGTTGTGACTTGCTGCCATGGGCGAGGGGAAAGCCTAGTCTTTTTTGGCATTTCATCATTTTTACGCCTGCGCTGCCTCCTACTGGCAGTAGAAGGTGAGAGCATCTTCCTGGTTCCCCCGGATGAAGACGACGGGCGGGTGGAGGCCTTTGGAGACTGTCTCGAGCCAGGCCATGTAGAGGGCGCTCGGACAAGCCCCTTTCCGCACCACAGGAAGGCTCCTAAAGGATGGAGGAGGGAGCAAAAAGAATTGAAAAACATTTTTTGGGAGATGAGAAGTAACCCACCTCCTACAGCACGCCAGGAGAGTAAAACTCAGATGTTGCCAAGTCCACACCAACTCTCCAGGGTTTCCTAAGGATGACGTAACCCATCCTGTCTTTATTGGGCATTCTAGGTCTGTGTGCCAGGCAACAAAAATGCTTTTAAAAAGACCTTTACATATGTTCTGCTCTGCAGAATTCAACCTCTTGCACAGGGATAGTAGTTACTGTATTTTTCCATGTATAAGACACCCCCACTTTTCTAACCCAAAATTAAGAAATCTAAGTGGGGCTTAGCAAGTGGAGGGGAAATCAGGGATCAAAGCCCTGCAGGATCAGTTTGATCCCTGCTTTCCCCTCCACTTGTTTTTGTTCTCTCCTCATCTTACTTCCGTGTATAAGGCGACCTTCAATTTTTAGTCTAAAGATTATAGGAAAAAGTATAGTCCTATACATGGAAAAATACGGTAGATCTAATTTCCTTTCTCTGCTTTATCACTGCTGAAAATATTCTTGTTTTTTCTCAGGAAAGGAAAGACAAGGCTGTGTTGCAAAGGCACTATAAGCAGCGTCCTTCAGAACAGTTATCCATGACATAAACCTTTGAGAATTGTTGCATTTTTAAGCCGCCTCATTGGTTCATAAGGACTAGAAACTCGGGTTTAGATCAATGAGGGGGTTTCCCACCTGTTCAGGGTGACATCCCGGACTTTGGGCATGGGTAGAAACGGAATACACTCAGCTTAAGTAGAGTAAAGCTCTTCCTGATCCGCATCATTCAGATTAAACACAATTAACATCTGGCACATCTGGGCCACGCTCGGCCAAGGGGCAGTTGCCGATTGGCCTGACAGCATGAGCAGACTTTGGCTGAGGCCACATTACATGGACAGGTTGTTGAAAGGAACTGTATGTCTTCTCCCATGTCGGCAAAAACCCACAGGAGGAATGGGGAGTTGTGTGCATGGTTCCTAAATAGAACCCGCCAACCCAAGATTTCAAAAAAAGACGTGGGGGAGGGACTCACATGACAATCAGGGCTGCGTTGCGGGAGTGGTCCTGCAGGATCTCATGGAGGCGCATATGCTGTTCAGACTGGAAAAAAGAGGCATGCAGAGAAATAAGAAATGAGACCAACCAGTGGGGTTTCATTAGGTCCCCTCTATGACCCTTTAACTCTAATATTTAATTATTTCAACCTGACAGTGCTCACAACATTCACCATCCCTACTCTTAACGACTGGTGCGATTGCCAGCTTGCTTGGAGAATACGTGTGTGTCTTTAATCCAGTGCTTTCCAACCTTGGGTTCCCCAGATGTTCTTGGTCTACAGGTCCCAGAAATCCTGGCCAGCATAGCTAGTGGGTGAAGGCTTCTGGGAGTTTTGGTCTGAGAACATCTGGGGGCCCAACGTTAGGAACCCCTGCTTGAAACTCCAGAGGAAGTAGGTAGGACTTCTCTAACTTCCTGAATTCAGCAGAGAACGTTTGCTGCATAGTTCAGTGGTTGAGGCATCTGGCTGTGGAGCCAGAGGTTGGGAGTTTGATTCCCCGCTCTGGCTCCTTGAGAAGGGCCTCGCTCCATGGTCCACGGGGTATTTTCTAACTCGGCAGTTCTAAGATGATGGTTGTCTACATTGACCAGGTTGTGAGATAGCAGCTCAGCTCCCAAATCCCAAAAATGCCATCCTAAAGAGGCCGATGGACAACAGCTGGTCAGAGAAGTTACTAGAACCCCCTCCTTTACAAATCTTTAGTCCAACAGTGATGGCCGCTCTCCTCTTCGTCCCACAATGGAAGGGAACCCACAAATATCTCACCTTCCTCTTGTAGACCCCGAGGTCTTCATCTGTGATCTTCCACGGTGCTTCCCTTTTCATCCCTTCTGGAGCATCTGGCCCTTTCTGGCCCTCCTTGAGTCGGTAAGGGGCGATAAGATCCTCAAATTCTTTCTGGCTGCCATGAGCAAGCAGGGGAAAAATTACAGTATTTATTTTATTTATTTAAAATATTTTTACCCGGCTTTTCTCCTTTAAAAGGATCCAAGGAAACTTACATCATTAAAAGACAATATTTAAAGCTAAAAACTGTAAAGGCTGTATATTGTCTCCCTGCTTATTTAACTTATATGCAGAATACATTATGCGAAAGGCCGGACTGGAGGAATCCCAAACTGGAATTAAGACTGCCGGAAGAAATATCAACAACTTCAATATGCAGATGATACCACGCCGTTGGCAGAAAGTGAGGAGGAATTAAGGAACCTTGTAATGAGGGTGAAAGAGGAGAGTGCAAAAAACGTCCTGAAACTCAACATCAAAAAAACTAAGATCATGGCCACTGGTCCCATCACCTCCTGGGAAATAGAAGGGGAAGAAATGGAGTCAGTGACAGATTTTACTTTCTTAGGCTCCATGATCACTGCAGATGGAGACAGCAGCCACGAAATTAAAAGATGCCTGCTTCTTGGGAACAAAGCGATGACAAACCTCGACAGCATCTTAAAAAGCAGAGACATCATCTTGCCGACAAAAGTCCGCTTAGTCAAAGCTATGACTTTTCCATTGTGATGTATGGAAGTGAGAGCTAGACCCTAAAGAAAGCTGACTGCCGAAGAATTGATGCCTTTGAACTGTGGTGCTGGAGGAGACTCTTGAGAGTCCCCTGGACTGCAAGGAGAACAAACCTATCCATTCTAAAGGAAATCAAGCCTGAGTGCTCACTGGAAGGACAGATCCTGAAGCTGAGGCTCCAATACTTTGGCCATCTCATGAGAAAAGAAGACTCCATGGAAAAGACCCTGATGTTGGGAAAGGTTGAAGGGAAGAGGAGAAGGGGACGACAGAGGACGAGATGGATGGACAGTGTCATCAAAGCGACCAACATGAATTTGACCCAACTGGGAGACAGTGGAAGCCAGGAGGGCCTGGCGTGCTCTGGTCCATGGGGTCACAAAGAGTCGGACACGACTTAATGACTAAACAACAAAAGCTAAAAAGAATAAGTCTATAAAAGTGTTTAAAAGGATCAAAAAAATGTTATCTACAACCAAAAGCAAACCACCAAAAATACAAAGTTGTAGGATACAACAATCCTTTTTTAAAACACCTCTCAGACAGTTAATCACTAAGGAAAAGCCTGCCTGAAGAGAAAGGTCTTTGCCTGCTTGCGGAAGGACAGCAAAGATGGAGCCAATCTCGCCTCCAGTGGGAGGGAGTTCCAAAGTCTAGCAGCAGGAACAGAGAAGGTGCTTTCTCATGTCCCCACCAAATGCACCTGTGAAGGTGGCGGAACTGAAAGAAAGCCCTCTCCTGATGATCTTAACACCTTAGTCGGCTCATAAGGAGAGATACGGTTTTTGGGACAGCTTGGACCCAGGCCATTTAAGTCTTTATAGGTTAAGATCAGGACTTTAAATTGTGCCCTTTGAACAATAAAGCAGAAAAACAAACAACGGGAAGTGGGAAGCAGATCAACACTGCAAATTAGAAAACGACTCAAACTCAGTTGCCCAGGAAGACTATTTGAAGCAGGGGGATGGGACTAAATGAGAGGGAAAAAATCTCAGAAAACAGAGGGTGAGGGGGGCCCCGCTTGCATTCACCTCGTCTCCTCCGGCCTCCACATTATTTCAGGCAGCACCACGACTTCGTTGAAGCCGAGGCGGAATTTGTTCAATAAAAACTGGATCCTGAAGGGGAAAGAAAGAAAGTGAATGTATTTACAGTATTTATTCTTTTATTTCAGACCTTTCTATCCTGTCCGACTTAGTGGAAACCACTACTCTGGGTAGTAATTACAAGATTATATAAACCCTAACTCTACCCACCCCAACCAAAACATTAAAAAATAAAATCTGCAAAGCAATAAAACACACCAAATAAACCAATGGGATGAAATAACATGTTGACAACATCCCTCGGGTGGCATAGGCTGAAGAACAAACTATCTCAGGGGGAAGATCTCCTTAAAGGCTTCCTTTAAAAGTGTGGGTTTACAGCTTTAAAAAAAAACAACTCTGGAGGGAGTATGCCTGTAGGATCTCTAAATCAATAGTTACGAGTTTGTCCATACTGGCATGTGGGCATGATATGTGGTTCCCTGATAGCACTGCTTGGCATGGAAAACAGACCTTGATTGTACTTAAAATGATTCATCATTCATCTTTAAGAGCTGGCCCGTATCTTTCTGGCACAGGGCAAGGGCATGCATTCTTTTTGGGATGATTGATTGAGGGGTACAAAATAGCTCTTTGTTCTGCTTTCAGAGTCGGGTAGCAAGAATTAAAACAGACTGCACTAACGCTAAAGGACCTTTTAAGCACTGTCCAGATCAAACCAAATTTCAGGGTTGACAAGCCCTACGAGTCTTTCTCTGGCTACCAGACATTTAAGCTATGGTGGGGATGAGCAGCAGGTTGCTACTGATTTAATTACGCAGAGGATGTCTATACTGTGATTACACTGCAAGAGGAAACACCCTAGAGATTGGAGAGTTAGATGTTTTGCTTCAGAGACAATGGTATCTGTCATCTTCCAGTGCAACGAAAAGCTGGACTTCTCAAAGTTCTTCCTTCCCCTCCATCTGTGTTTGTGTGCTCATCAGGTACTCTTACTAATTAATATATATTAAAGTGATGGGCAGGGTCGCAGAGTTTGGCTTCCTCTGAGCAGCTTGCTCTGCCCCTTGTCTCCTTACTCTTCTCTGTGTTCTTCAGCGTTGCTGATCTGGCTGCTGATGAAGACTCGGACTTTGCAGCGGCTCCAGCGTTTTCGACGCGTGAGGAGGTAAGGAATGAGGAGGGTCAGCCCTGGAGGGAAGAGAGAAGGAAGTCTAAAGAGCAGACTACAAAAGACAGGTGGATATGCTTTGGGAGAGGGGCACAGGAGGGGGGCCCTTTGTGAAGAACTTGATCCGCACTGGTGTGTTGTAAGGAAAGTCATTTAAGTGGAGATACCAAACATCGGGGATTAGAGGGTCACCGGGGGGCCCTTTGTGAAGAACTTGATCCGCGCTGGTGTGTTGTAAGGAAAGCCATTTAAGTGGGGATACCAAACAGAGTCCCTGCATCGGGGATTAGAGGGTCACTTCCCTCATCTGTGTCATAGTCTTGTCCACAAAAGGGATAGTAATACAAGTGACAGCCACCGAGTTGTCCTCATGCTGTGGCGATGCCAATTTGTGCCAGAAGGGAAAGGTCCTCCCCAACACTAGAGGGCACTAGAGAAAGGAAAGGCACGTACCACCATCATCAAAAAGCCAATATATGTCAATGTTCTTCTTCTTCTGTTTGCTCTGGAATACCGTTTCCAGGTGCGAATCTGCACCCATCACTTTGAATGCATCACCTGCGGGAAGAGTAAATGAAGCTTCTCAATAACTCCTTGTTGTACGGTTGTTGCATCACTTTCAAAACCCTTTCCGAAGCTCCCAAGATCTGAATCTAGAACACTCTCGGCTCCAGTCACAGCCCTGAGTAGGGCTCAGGAAGCCCTTGGGAAGCCCCCCGTTGATTGAAAGCATTGTCTATTACTACCTATCAGCTCAACTTGTTAACCCATGTTTCCAAGAGTGATAGCATTGGGTTGGTCTAAATGAGTTTTCAATGTGCCCAACACGTCTCTTGATTTGGGGCAGGGGGAACACACCTCTTTAAGAACTCTTACAGCTCCATAAATGTTGATTCTCAGATCTCAAGAAACAGAGTGACCAGTTTAGGGACTTGGAAGCAATACCTCCCAGAGAAGTGATGAATGAATTGGAAGCAAAATTGTGTTTTCCAATTGCACAAATAGTATAAAAAATTTTTGGAATATTGCAATTAATGATAAATTGACTTCGGAAATTAAGTTCAAAAAAGGAGAGTTAAAGACTACTAGATTTAATGAGATATGGGACAAATTTATAAATGCTGGATTGAGTACAGGGAAAGGGGGGAAAACCAAATCAAGATTATATTTATTTTTGAAAGCAATATGGAGACTGTTAAATGGTGGATTGAAGGTCGGGTATAAGGAGGTAAAAATAAATTAAGATATAATGGTCCCCAGGGTGAAGGGAGCACTACGTTCTGTGTTACTATTTTTTTCATAGGTAATTTGTGTGGATATTTTCTAATGTGCTTAGTCTAAAAATTTTAATTAATAAAAAAATTAGAGAGAGATGAATGGATTGAGGACAATTCATCTTATTCTTGGCCCTAGTAAATTTTAAATAAATTTTTAATTTGTATACATCTATAAATAAACACCCTACATTCTCTGTGATTCTTAAGAAACGGAATCCTGGCTTATAGGTGTGGGGGTCCTCAAAACATCGTAACACTTAGAGGGAGGTTCTGAACATAGAATACAAGGGTATAACATACGTTTCTGTTTCTCCCGGCCCAGCACTGATTCTGAGTCGTCAAAGCCCAAATTCACTGGTGGGAGAGACATGAACAAAGGGTTAGTCAAAGCAGGTACTTAAATTTAAAAAAGAAAAGAGAAAAAATAGAAAATTCTGCATCCAGATCATGCTTTCCAGAAACCCTTAGCCATTTTGGTTCAGAGCTTTGGGGAAACCATTCTCGTCTTCCAGTACTAAAAGGAGATAAGAGGCATGACTTGGTGTATTCTCCAGCTCCTGCCCATCCCACATCTTTCCCGAGGAGACCCACCTTGTGCTTTCACTGTCCTTGAGACGTCCAATCCATCACGCATCCGGAGCACACACACTCCGACACTTAAGTCAAAACAATCACTGCAAGGGGTGGGGGAGAGAGAGAGAAAGACATGGCGAATTAACTTCAATATTTACCCATGCCTTCCTTAAATTATTGCTTATTGAGCGATCATGTTGGCAAGGTATTCTTTTCCTACTTAATAAAGGAATTGGAGAGTGTATTCTCGAAGGCTTTCACGTCCGGGATCCGATGGTGGTTGTAGGTTTTTCGGGCTGTCTGGCCGTGTTCTTGAGGATTTTCTTCCTAATGTTTCACCAGCCTCTGTGGTCGGCATCTTCAGAGGACAGGAGTCAGAACTCTGTCTGTGCTTGGTGCAGTTTGTGGGACAGTTGAGTATTTAAAGCTGTGAGGTCAGCTTTTTGTCCTTTTCAGGAGATTGGGTGATTATGGTGATCAGTGTGTTTTCTGTTGTGGGTGTATTGTTGTGCCAGGTAGGTGGGACGCGTCAGCCCTGGAAGGCAGCCCATCTAGGAGAAGGAAAACTCTGACTTCAAACCTCCACTGCATTGTGGCTATATCCACTGATGGAAAAGGCTTCAGGAGTTAACCCTGAGGAAAAATCTGGAGCCGGAGGCACTTTGTGTCATTCTGTCAACTCCTGCGACATCGCTGAAACCAGTTGTATTGGCTCTTGCCTTTCCATTGGACTATTTCAGTGATGTGGAGAGGGGGCATTTCTGGTTGGGTAACAGCCTATCCTCCATATTATTTTACCCAGGCTTCGTGCTCTGGAGAGGACACTCCAGCTTCACGTACAGCTTCAAAACACTAGACGCTGTTCCAAGTCCTCTATACAGAGCACGTTACCATAGTCTCTCGAGACTGAAGGATGCCTATGATGTATTGTTGTGATAAGGGGAAGAGATGATCTGTCACTGTGATTGATGGGTGTCGTTAGCTGGTCTTTTGTGTGCAGTGATCACGGGTCCTTGTGGCTGGGTAGAGTTCATTGACCTTTTGCAGGAAGGACTAGTCCTCTGACGATGCCAGCCATAGACACTGGCGAAACGTTAGGAAGAAAAACCTCAAGAACATGGCTAAACGGCCTGGAAAACCTATAACAACCATTGAATTGGAGAGTATTTCTGAATATGCACAGAATATACCTGACCCAGTTAATGTTTTGAAGAAAGCAGACCGAGAGGTAAGGGGTTTTGGACAGGCAGACATTCTAGATGCAACCCTTTGACTCACTGTGGTTTTAGAAGAGGTAGCTGTGACCATCTGCCCTTGCACATTGGGCCAAAACCAAATAAAAATTTAAAAAATAAAGAAGACAAAAATGTTGTGGCACCTTGAAGACTAGCCACTATGTTTTAATGTGAACTTTTGTGGGCAAATATAGCATTTTACTAACTTATTGTTCGGTGTTTACAATTTTAGGATTCAGGAGTCAATCCACACGGTCACTTGTGTTGTGTGCCATCAAGTCAGAACTGACTTATAACAACCCTAATAGGGCTTTCAAGGTCAGTGAGATATTTAAGGAGTGGTTTTACCACTTCTAATCCCCCAGTGAGTTTCCATGGCTGGGTGGGGATTCGAATCTAGTCCATCTCTCTGTCCACTACACTAGTGGTCCCCAACCTTGGGCCTCCAGATATTCTTGGACTTCAACTCCCAGAAATCCTAGTCAGAAGATGTGGTGGTGAAGGCTTCTGGGAGTTGTAGTCCAAGAACATCTGGAGGCCCAAGGTTGGGGACCACTGCGCTACACCACACCAGGAATCTCTAACATAACTAACGGTTACATCTTAACTTATGCTTTCATGGCGTCTGAGGGAGTGGACTGGCCTATGAAAGTTCACCTTAAAATATGGCAGCCTTCCAAATTGCTGCCATTTTTATCTGTTTTCCCCCGTACCTTCCTCGCCTCCACTTTTGGACCAATTCCCCTGTTTGTCTTCACATCCATCAAGCTTTTACGCCTTCACAATACTCTTCTGTATTTGCTGCTTCCCTCTCCAGAACTAGTTGAGGTTCTGGCTTTATTTTACTTTTTATGGATGATGCACACTTTATATTAAAAGGACCAGGAAGGGAAAAAAATGTTCTCCTACAGAGAGTTTGTCCTATGAGATGGATCATTGATGCCACCAGTCTTATAGATTAAAACTCACATTTCCAGAAGTTTCCAGCCTCTTTGACCAAACCCATTTTTCGTCATTCCCACCCCCGCCATCACATGCTTTCATATATTTTCCCCTCTCTATCACCTCTTTGTCCAAGATGCAGCCCTTACTGTATTATGCCCACGTAATTCTCCAGGTTCTGTGGGGAATCTGTCTGCCAATTCTTCTTGTAACCCAGGACCATTGTGTTGGGTTTGAGGCGTCCCAGACCAGAGACCTACAGGGAGAAGTTGCCATTAAGCTTGTAGCCCATGAAGAAAAGAGGTTGGAGAGAGAAATCTGTAGAGTAATACTAATTCTGGCCACTAGAGGCCAACATATCAAATGTGACTTAATGACCACACAATATGCCGGTTGTGTGGCTCCACACCCTCGCATGTACTCTATTCACAAGGGTGAGTTTCAACTTTGAATTGTGGCTTAAATGTACAATCACAGTTTCATCTTGAAAACTCTTCTGTTGGTTCAACATTTCATTCAACGTTTAGTCAAGAAATACAAGGAGACCTGTAAGGAAGAAGCTTATTAACACTGGGATAGATCACCGTTGCCTTTAAGGGCCAGAAATGTCTATTCTAGTGATTCCAATCTTGGTTCCCCAGATGTTCTTGGATTATAAATTCCAGAAATATTGGCCAACACAGCCAGCAGTGAAGGTTTCTGGGAGAATCAGTCCAAGAACATCTGGGGAACCAAGGTTGGGGACCACTGCTCTATCCTCTGATTTCTCAGAACTTTTTTTTGCTTGAAATCCTTTTAACTAGAGTTGTCACAAGGCTCGGTTGTGTGGAACAACCAAACCATTTCAGTATGGAACAAGCCTCACAGGCCAACAAAATCAGAAGCAAAGGATAAACCAGCAGACACATCAGAAAGGTGGTCTTCCCCTAAACACAGCTTGAGTGGAACGGGAAATCCTCTTACAATCTTTCCCTTTCCATGATGATCTAACGTTGAGTTTGGGTGGGCAGAGTTAGGGCAGGACACTCAACTGCTTAGCCCAATGCTGCAATCATGTGGTTTGGTTGTTCCACATACGGATGAGATCCATGCAGACCTCCAGGTTCTGACTTTGAGCTCAAGAAGATTGTGATGAAATACCAGGGTTTATGCCTGAGACCTTCTGCGTACACAATCTCCCACTAATCTACAGATGTTCGTTAGGACCTATCTTCTCCTTCTAACCACAGTGTACTCCCATCCATTTGGGAAGAGCAAGTGTGTCTTCCAGGACAGAGAGGTATGCATGGCTTGTTTTTATTTCCCCCCTGGAATAGTTTCCCTTCCATAACAGCCAAAAATAGCCACAATATCAGCCAAGGACAGTCAGAGTTTAGCAGGCTTCTATGGGTAGTTCCCAGGGCCAGACATGGTTAAGTTGCTCCGGGACCTAAAACCGCATCTTGTTTCAAAGTCCAACCAAATCGAGAAGAACAGACATGGTCTTTGATCTGAGCAGCCCCTCTGCTGGGTGTAATGTGTTTCAAGGGGATGGTGAGTCGTCCGTTCCATGTGTGTACCAAAACCTCGGGAAAATAGTTTTCTTGGGCCACAGCTTCCAGAATGCTGTAGTCTGTACTGCTGAGGGTCATGCATTCTGGGAGTTGAGATGACTTCATCCAAGCGCTGATGTGCATCTTGGCCACCAATGCTCTCCTCCATTGTGTAATCAACCATTAAGGGTTGTTCTTAGGGGAAGCTGTCAAAACTCCCCTGCCCACCCCCTTAGCTGCAAATAGGTTACCTGCAAAAGACTCCTGGCACCAGATCTGAGGTCCCCTGTCATGATGAAGTTGTAGAAAGAGCGGGTCTTGCGCGTGCTAAGCCACTGGAGCTGCTCATCGTAGTTCTCAGCACAGGAGTTGTCGTACAGCTAATGGTGTAGAAGGGGGTTCAGGTAAAAGCACAAAGTCCCAGCTACCCCCCCCCCATTGCCTCCATCCCTTCCCACCTTTTCATCAACACAACAAAGCATCTTCTGGCCAGAGAGAGACTCACCTCAGCCACATTCCCACAGATCATGAGGCTCACATTCTTTGTGAAGGCACCAACAAAATCCACAAGGGCTGGGCGGAAGTTGGGGGGCCCTGAGAGCACTAGACATTGAGGCCTGTGGGAAGAGAAGCGTCTCTAAGGATTGTGGGCTGGTTTGCACAAACACGAATCCCCAGTGGATTACGATGCATCAGTTGATAAGGCAGCACAGGTTTCCACTCCACCCAGGACGGGCTTTGCATGGCGTTAAACCTAAAACAGTATAACCAGAACATGCCCTGTTCTGGCTGGCAGTCATGTGGTTGGACACACCCAGCTGTGCACCCGGCGGTGCGCTTGGGTGTACAACAGGCGGTCAGAAAATTGCCAGAACTGCTGATGCAGCTTTCCCCGACATGTGGTGTTCAGCAGTAGGATTCTGCCCAGTGCATCTCTGGCAAGTGGGATATAACCCACCTTAAGTAAAATACCCTGTTTCCCCGAAAATAAGACAGGGTCTTATATTAATTTTTGCTCTAAAAATGCATTAGGGCTTATTTTCAGGGGATGTTTTAATTTTTTTCATGTACAACCATCTATGTTGATTCAAGTACAGTCATGTCATCTTCCGGTTGCTGGACAAGGGTGGAGGGCGGGGGTTTCACTTAACTGGGGCTTATATTACGAACATCCTTAAAAATAATACTAGGGCTTATTTTCAGGTTAGGTCTTATTTTAGGGGAAACAGGGTAGTTGCTAATGTTTTACGTGTTTTTAATAATCCAATCTATTTTAATCAGTTGTATAGTTTAATTGCTTTCAATGTATAATTTATTGTGTTTTTAATACTTTGAGCGAAGTTGGTATTCGAGACAATGATGCTCTACACACTTGCCATGCATTTCCCCCTGCTGCATTGAGTCTACATCTGAGTAAACCTGACTCACTAGCCTTTACTCAACATCTACCCCAGAAAGGTGACCAAAACCACCAAGGAAATCCAACTCTGAAGCTTCCCATCCTCCACTTGATCAACAACGATGTCAACTCACCGGAAATTCTTGACGTGGTCTTCGACATTGCTCAAGTTCATAGCATTTGTCAGGGCCATGTTGTAGCTGCCGGCTTGCATCGAGGAGCCCCAGTTCACCTCTAAAACAAGACATAGATTCAGCTCCTCTCCCTCAGCGCACCACAACAAAACTCTCAGGTCTTCTTGGCGTCTGATGGTAAACCCCAAGCTTTCTTACCTGGTTTCTTGTAGGTCGTATAAGCCAAGCTCACAATGATGATCCCAACGACAATAAGGGCTGCCCACCATGTCAGAAGGAACATAATGACCACAGAGACGATAGCCCCAAAGAGGGCTGTCCATTTGCTGAAGTAGCGGAAGGAAGGCCTCCAACCTAGAGGAGAAAGACAAGAGGCATTCGAGTGAGATGGAAGCAATGGACGCAGACAGCCCCGGAGCCACAGCCAACCCCTATGTATCCTGTCACTGACTTAACACAACTATACATACACATACAGTCACACACCTCTGTAACACACACAGCCTAGCAAGTTTTTGAGCCCTCACGCTCTTCTGCAGGTCTCTAGAGGGTTGCCATGCAAGGGGGAAAAAAGGATCCACGCAGCATCCAGCAGCCTGAAAGGTTTAGCTTTCATCGTCTGTAAGAAGTTGCTAGTCCTCATGGTTGTCTAGGGAAACCTTGCGGTGGGGGGGGGAGGTAGAATTCTCAAAAGTTAGAAGTGGGGTCTTAAGAAGATGCTGACTGGCACCAGAGTTTTGTCTTTTCATGGTGGGTCAAAAGTTCCTGCAAAAAATATTGGGTTCTGCGCTGCTGTTCCACACACACCCAGCATCCAAATAGTGCAGGGCTTGACCCAAAACATAGCACAGTGGTTTAATTATTTGGCTACAGAGCCAGAGGTTGGGAGTTCAATTCCCCACTATGCCTCCTTGACAGGGGCTGTACTCAATGATCTTCCAGCAAAGCAGTTCTGAGATGATGATGATCCACACTTGCTTTTTTTCTGTCCCCACAAAACCTCTCCCCCACCCCTGCTCTCTCAGGCTATCTCCCTCACCCACCTTACCTGGGGAGTTCGTAACAGTGGCGTGGAAGCAACTGAAGTTGATGAGGGCATATGAGCACAGGAAAAAATTGGAGATGATGGGAGCGATGGTATTGAGCTCAGCTGCAGAGATAAAGAAGAAGGCCGTTGACAAAGAGGCCACCATATTCCAGCAGACAATGGTGGAAGCAGATGTTTGCATGTGTTCAATACCGAGTCCTCCATGCTGTAGATCCCACATCTGTTCTCCTTCCTCTCGCTGACCATTGCCTCTTGTTTATTAGTGTTCACATGGAACATTTTATCTTCTTCTCTAGAACATACTCTTGAGTCCCGTCTTTAGTGAATTATATAATACATAGGCTACAGTCTTTCTAAACTGCGTCCAGTCTATGCTCTCATAGCAGTCTCTTCATAAAGCCTTTGGCCATGATTGTACCATGGAGTTCCACTAACTAACCAACAAGCTCAGGTTTACATCATTCCCTTCCCTGACACATTATTTTCATTTTATTTATTTCTTGAATGTGCAGCATTCCCAGCAGAGGAACCCTAGGCAAGCTACAAAGACTTTTAAAAAATGAAATATTAAAAGTACAATGAATTATATGTATATATTTAAAAATTGATGGCCAAAACCCTGTCACTTTGTATAATAATTGCACTACAGAAGGACTATTGAATCAATGGGGATTTGGTGAATTCACTCTTCCATGAGTTCATTGATTCCAATGGGCCTACTCTGACTGAAATGTACTATGTTACAAAGACTTTTAAAAAATGAAATATTAAAAGTACAATGAATTATATGTATATATTTAAAAATTGATGGCCAAAACCCTGTCACTTTGTATAATAATTGCACTACAGAAGGACTATTGAATCAATGGGGATTTGGTGAATTCACTCTTCCATGAGTTCATTGATTCCAATGGGCCTACTCTGACTGAAATGTACTATGTCAAAGTAAGTCACAGTTAGAGTAGGCCCATTTGAGTCAATGGGACTTATGGAGGAGTCGGTTCACCAAATCCCCATTGATTCAATAGTTCTTCTGTCAATGGGCCTATTCTAGTGTGATTTACTACATTAAGCAACAGAATTCGGGCGAATGTATTAATAATTTAAGAGTCTCAAATCTATTTTCACACTTCCCTATGAAACCGGATGAGAAAGGTTACTCGGTGAGTTTCACGGCTCAGTATGGACTTGAAACCTGCATCTCCCAAGTTCTAGTCCAAGACTTGAACCACGAAGCCCAAAGTGCCACGCTGGGTCCCTATTCATGTGGATTGCTGCACTGATAGGAAGGGAAGACCAGTGAACTTACCGATGAGGATGAAGGCAATAGCTAGGATGAAGGTCAGAGCGTACGCTCTCAGTGGCTCTGGGTTCTTTCCATACCCTTTGGCAAAGAAGCCAATGAACGGGTAGAGGTTGTCCTGGCAGAGACACTGTAGAGGAGAACAAGACCCATTGAAGGTAAGGAGAAAGGGGGACCAACAGGTCCAAGCTTACGTAGTCTTTGTCAACAAGACTCGGTGGGCTTCTGAGTGTTGAAGATCAGCTCCCAGGGATGGTTCTGAAGCATCCACTTGATGGCACAGAGGAGTAGGAAGGTGAGAACCTCACTGGGCTACAGTTGGTGTTCTTCCTAGAGAACATCTATAACTACTTGGCTTTGTCAGACAGAGCCACAGGGAGAAGTAACAGTGGAGGCTGGGAACTGGGGACTCAGCGCAGCACCAGGGGCTTATCATCCCTATTTGAAACAGCACGATGGTCCTTTCACGACCATCTCTGCACCTCCATAGACAGCACCTATTTAAAAGACCACATCTCCCTCTATGAGCCTACTCAAGCATTCAGATCATCAGGGGAGGCTTTTCTCTCTGTCCCAACACCTTCACAGGTGCGTTTGGTAGGGACATGGGAAAGGGCCTTCTCTGTGGCTGCTTCCAGACTCTGGAACTCCCTCCCACTGGAAGCCAGGTGGGCCCCATCTTTGCTACCCTTTTCACAGGCAGGCAAAAAGACCTTTCTGTTCCGACAGGCTTTTTCTGAGTGACTGGCCGTCTGAGAGGGGTTTTTCCAGATTGGATTCTTGTCCTCTGTTGCTCTTAAATACGTCCTTCATATTGATTTTATTTGACCTTTTAAATATAATATTGGCCTGATTCTATTTTAATATTTGTATATTTGTTGTTTTTAGCTTTTAAATATTGTCCTTTCGATGAGGTGAGCCCCCCTGGAGTCCTTTTAAGGAAAAAAGGCATGGTAAAAGTTTTTTTAAAATAAATCCATACATACCTGGAAGACCTTGGGAGCAGAGACGAGACAGGCTAAAGCCGAGGAGAGCGTGGCAGCGAAGATTCCAGCCGTGATGAGGGGGCTGAACGCCGACACCATACTCATAGTCTAGGAGACATATGAAGGGGGCAGACCTTATGATGGAGGGAGAGCATCACATACAAGACTCAAGAGACAGACACAGAGCTAAAGGGGAAGGGGGACACCCTGGGATCCTGGGTTTTCCTTACTTGATAGTCATTGGCCAGTCCGTATTCGCAGGTCCCAGCCACGGTGCACTCGGTAAAGTTCCACCCGCTCAGGCAGCCGAGGCCGACACAGTCCCCACCTGTGAAGTTGGTGGTGCCCATCGTGTCGTTCATGCTGCCGGAAGCATCTCGGATCACACAAGTCCCTGTCAGAATGGAATGAATGAATGAATGAATGAATGAATGAATGAATGAATGAAATAATTAATTAATTAATTAATTAATTAATTAATTAATTAATTAATTAATTAATATACCCTACCCCGCCCATCTGGTATATTCTACCACTCTGGGCGGCTAACAACAACACATATACAATTAAAATAATATAAATCCAATTAACATCATTGATAGTAAAACATTCCCAAAATAAGTGATATAAAAGAAAGAAAGTTAAATGCTGACAGGAGGGAAGGCCTGGATGTAAAGCCATGTTTTTAGTTGAATTTTAAATGGACCCAGCGTAGGGGCCGCGCGAATCTCAGGAGGGAGATTGTTCCAAAGGCGAGGAGCCACCGCCAAGAAGGCCCGGTTTCGAGTCTTTTCCCTCCGGACCTCCCGGAGGCAAGACAGCTGCACGAGATCAGATCCAAAGGTGATGTAACCCAGAATTTATGTTCACACAGAAGCCAACCAATGGGAAACCCCACCCAACCCTGCGTGCCTCCTCCTCCGGATTAAAATCGTCATTGTCATCTGGTCTGGCACTTGTTAAAACCTTGCCGACAAAGGTCTGCATAGTCAAAGCTATTGTTATTCCAGTACTGTTGTATGGAAGTAAGAGCTGGACCATAAAGATAGATGACCACCAAAGAATTGATGCTTTTGAATTGTGGTGCTGGAGGAGACTGTTGAGAGTCCCCTGGACTGCAAGGAGAACAAACCTATCCATTTTGAAGGAAATCAGCCCTGAGTGCTCACTGGAAGGACAGATCCTGAAGCTGAGGCTCCAATCCTTTGGCCATCTCATGAGAAGAGAAGACTCCCTGGAAAAGGCCCTGATGTTGGGAAAGTGTGAAGGCAAGAGGAGAAGGGGACGACAAAGGACGAGAGGGTTGGACAGCGTCATTGAAGTTACCAACATGAATTTGACCCAACTCCGGGAGGCAGTGGAAGACAGGAGGGCCTGGGGTGCTCTGTTCCATGGGGTCACAAAGAGTCGGACACGACTTAACAACTAAACAACAACAAAAAACTTTTGAGTCTGGAACACCGGCTCTGCTCAGTTAAAAGCTAGGGCTGAGCCCTTGGCACAGCCAGAAGGACCTCAAGCACCAGACTCTTTACCTATGGTGGCGGCGATGGCCAGGTAGGTCAAGGTGGTCAGGAAGATGGCCATCAGCGTTCCCTGGGGGATGGCTACCGCTGGGTCCTGCAAAGCACAAGGACAGAGAGTGAAGCTCCCTCCTCATCAGTGGAGACCAACCATTATTTCTCCCCTCTGAGATCTGCCCCTCTTGGCTGCTGTTCCAGCTCACGGCATTCTGGTCGGCTGCTCTTCTTAAATGTTCTTTTCCTGATTTTTTTTCTTCTTATTGGCCTACGGGTTAGTTAGGCCAGGCGAAGTGCGACCCCATAAGCTGTGGCAGTGAATAGTCGGCAGTTAATAAGCTGCCACTTGTGTTCCTTGGCATACGCCAACTCACACGACGGGAGCATGGCGCAGGGTTACCAGGGGAGACCCGTCAACTAGGGGCACAGTTGACGCCATTGCTCTCGCCTGGGTAGCTGGATTCCGCTGGATAGCTCAATGAGACGGAGCTCCTCGGTCAGAAGTTCAATTCCCCGCAAAGCCTTGTGGGAAAAGAGCCAGCTTGTGTGGCCTTGGGCAAACCACACAATCCCAAGGCAACCCCCCTCCCTCAGAACAAAGAAATTGTGACCTCCTTTTTGAGGCCTCTAAACCAAAGAAACCCTGAAAAGGTCACCATACGTTGGAATTGATTATTAATATTATTTATACTGAGTCCCACTCAGGTCACCAACAGGAGTCTAGTGTACAGGAGCACCCCCCATATCCACAGGGGATTGGACTGGCAGAAGATATGGAACAATTAAGACTCGGACCACACATTTTCTGAATAGTTTTTATCCCAGAGCTATAATTGCAATTAATAATGAGCTTAAAGACCACCAGTAGTGATATTATTATTATTATTATTATTCCTACCTGCCCCGTGGATACGGAAAAACACGGATTACAGCAAACACTAATTTAATAGAGAAGACTATACATACCATGGTATCTGGCTCTTTCTACTGGCCAGTTTGGGTAACTTCATATTTAGAAATAAATATTTCTTAGATTTTTCTTTTAATATATTTTAATATTTTCAGACCATGGATAAGTAAACTAGTGGATACTCATCCTGTGGATAATGGCGTTCTTACTGTATTTAAACTATTTCATTGGTATTATACCTCGGACAAGTGATGGAGACATTGTTTGAACAAAGTGAAATGAACACCTGGGAGAAGAAAGCATCTCACTCAACTCCTTTCTCTTCTTATGCCACCCATGGCCACCGGCTGCTTCTCTCTGAAGGGCCGCAAGGCCAAGCCGCCTACCTTGAGGTCTCCAGAGATATTGGCACCTGCCAAGATTCCTGTCGCAGACGGGAAGAAAATGGAGAACATGCCAAAGAAACTGCCCGATTCGCCTCTCCATTCAGGCCCAATGTTCTCCAAGAAGATGTCACCTTGTGGAAAAAAGAAGGCAAGAGTGTCCACTCAAACGCTATGTTGAAAAACATCTTTTTAAGAATATTGCACAAAAGTGCAACGTACAAAGGCTTGGTCAAGCTAAAACAGTGTTATCTATTTCTGGGGCTTTAACTAGGGCAGGCCAATGGGGACTTTGCCCCAGAGCACCGATATTCAGAGAATACTGAAATCAAGAGGTGAACCGACTTGCGAGTGTCGGGAAAATAAATGGGAACACTCCTGTCCATATTTACTCCTCCTACCCCTGCCTATATGTTTCAAAAGCATAAACTTTCTTATTTTTGTGAGAACACCACACTCCCTTCCACCTTTTTCTCAAGAGGCGTCTGTGACCACGCCTCAGGAGATCCCATTTGCCTCAGAGCTGCTGTCTATGGCTTTATGCCTAGTGCTCTGGAGTACAACTTCTGTCACTGGCAACGGTGACTAAGGAAAATGGGAACTGCAGTCTGACATCTCTAGAAGGCACGGCGATGGGGGAAAGCTGGTCTACTCTTACAAGCCAGAATTCTCCAGCATGTTGGGTGGGAGTTTTCATAGCTCTGTCTGGAGATAACCAGGGACTGAACCCCAGATGAGAGAGGTGCAGATGTGTGTGTTCTCGGACGACGTCTCCCAGAAATTACCTGAGAAGCATCCTGGGTAGCTGCGGTCAAAGAACACAACTGTACACCCCTCTACCTTTGACATGTTGCAGGCAGAACATTTGTTCTGCCACTGAGTACAGCCCATCCCACATGGGCCATAATTTTTTGGTCTTAGCAGAACAATGCTTATGGAAATATAGCTCAGGAAATGTTGATCATTTCAGGACACAAGGGATGGTGTGTGTGTGGGGGGGTAGGGCCCCTACCACGGTAACTGAAGTAGCCTTTGGCCATCCTCTCCGGCGAGGCCGGGATGAAAGTTCCAATGAAGTAGTTGATGAAGGAGATCATGATGACGAAAAAGAAGACGACCTGTGCCTGAAAAGAAAAGAAAGGGGAAACTCTTTTAAAAGAAATGGATCCATCGGTCCCAGCAAGCTATCCATAGCCAGAGTAGAAACTTAGATTCTAGAATCCTGTTGCTGATTCACACTTGCTTAAATCCTTTCAAGGAGAAAGGCGGGGGGTAAAAATAAATAAATAATAGAAACGCCATAGCCAGGAGCATCCTCAGTGCCTCTCTAATGAGAGGTAATGTGTGGTCAAGATTTATGTGCTCTCCCTTGGCCACCGGAAACCCATTGGGAGGTGTTTGTGTAGAACGATGCATCATAAATTAAAAATCACTGGCTTTCACAGACTGCAAACTGCAATCTCCATCTACAAAGCTGTGTCGGGCCCCCAACAGCAGCCATGAAACTTTTGGGTCTTTAATAAAAACAGATCATTTTGGAGCTACCCACGAGAACTGTGCAGAGCCGGAAGATGGTGAATGAGCACCGAAAGCTAGCTCTATTTTTTGTTTTATTTTCTTAATGGTCCAATAAAAGTATCACCGATTCCTGTATTTACATTGGGAGGAGCCAACTGCAAATCATTCCTGAAATAGACTTTGAAAATGTATTCGCGAAGGCTTTCACGGCCGGGATCTAATGGTTGTTGTGGGTTTTTTGGGCTTCTTGGCCGTGTTCAGAACACGGCCAAGAAGCCCGAAAAACCCACAACAACCAGACTTTGAAAATCCTATTCAGGCCAGCATAAGTTAGAATCAACTGGATTCCATCTAACCATGATTACCTACAGATCAATTCATCCCCAGTTCCCCTTCCTTAGTCAGCTGGCAAGTCTTAGCAGACTCTGCCCATACACCTTCTCTGTGATGCAAGCTGATACAGGTCTAAATATTTCTCAAGCTTCTTGGCTTCCCCCAAAAACTGTAGCTGCGATGGAGTCACAAGTCCCATCATAGTCCCATTACCTTAGCCTCCCATTCCATGCCAGCCAAAGCGATGCCAAGGAGGACGGTGATAGTGATGACCCCCACGATGCGGATGTCATTTGTTGGGTCGGTCATAACGGCATCGAACTCCTATTGGAGGCACAGCAGAGATGAGAACATTCTCAGTCTTGGGTTGAATCCCATGGATTTCACACCTCAGCCCAAATTGGTTACTTGATTCATGACCGTAATTACAGGAATGATAGAAAGACTAGCTTGGCCTCAATGAATGATGCTCAACTTTTGTCTTTCCAGATGTTGGCTCTCAGAAGCACCAAAAAAACAGGTGATGGCCAGGTATTCTGCGAGATGAAGTCCGAAACTTCTAAAAAGACTAAAGGCTGGGAGCTACCGGTATAGACAGTGGTTCCCAACCGTGGGTCCCCAGATTTTCTTAGACCACAACTCCCAGAAATCCTGGCTAACAAAGCTAGTGACAAAGGCTTCAGAGAGTTTTAGCTCAAGAACATCTGGGAACTCAAGATTTAGAAACACTGGCCTAGACAAACAGGGCGATCGTATTTAAATGGACCTTGTAGGAAGTCCCGTGGTACCCAACAATACTTCCTTCTTAGAAGAGAGGCATGAAATTATGCTGTACAGAGGTAAGGGGCCAGGTTTCTGGTTTCTTATACATCACGGGGTTGGCGGTAAAAATGCTGATAGAAGTAGTGTAGAACACAGTACTTTTGGAAGGGCAAAATCTGCATCTGAAAAGGCCTTAAAATTCAGGACCTGGAAATGTCTCTTCCACCTCATGGAGTTCAGGAGAGACACCCAATCATCTCCGCAGATAAAAACGGTGGATAAAAGAATGGGTGTTTGGGGGGGAGCCAGACTGGAGCATTTGGGTTGCTCTGTACATACCACCAGGAGGTCCTTGACTGTTTCTGAGAAACCCACAACGTGCATAGCCACGGCAACAGCGTTGGCAAAAGAGAAGAGGAGACCGATGGAGCCTCCAAGCTCGGGTCCCAAACTGCGGGAGATGAGAAAGTAGGTACCCCCTGCGGGAGACACAAAATAGATCATGCAGATGCTAACTACTTCCAGCTCTCAGGGATGGTCCTGCTCTTAGGTAAAACCAAGTCAAGCCTTAAAGCTAGTTCTACTCCTAGGTAAAGCTCGTCACTTTGTCTATCATTTACTGTAGAACAGTGGGTTGTACCAAAAACAGAAAATACTGTACGTAATAATGTAGCATTCGCAGAGAACATTTTTTCCCCTGTGTTTTAAGATGAGAAATATTGATTTCTGAAAACCAAAAGTGAGTTTCCATCCTTTCTGGTTCCATCCTTTTAATGCTTGGTCTCTTGAGGGGCCACGTTGAGCCATTCTTTGGCCACTGCTCCCAAACCAACCGAGGTTTCTCATCCCAATCTATAGATCTCATGGCCCATTGCCTCCTCCCGATTTTGAGGGGCCCTGGAGAAGATGAACTGATTGGGGACACCTTTTTTTCTCCTTCACCACTTCACAGTTGCTTTTCACAAGAGGGGTCCCGATGGAAACAGCAAGAAGGAACTTCTACTCCTTCTCTTTGCCTCTTGTAACCCGTTCATGGGCTCCAAAAGAGGGGGTGTTGGATGAAAAGAAAAAAAGAGCAGGACCCGAAGCTCACCAGTGAGAGGACCTTCCCACTTGCTGTCAGCCTCTATCTATCTATCTATCTATCTATCTATCTATCTATCTATCTATCTATCTATCATCTATCCATCCATCCATCCATCCATCCATCCATCCATCCATCCATCCATTCTATCTATCTATCTATCTATCTATCTAATCTATCTATCTATCTATCTATCTATCTATCTATCTATCTATCTATCTATCTATCTATCTATCTATCTATCTATCTATCTATCTATCTATCTATCTATCTATCTATCTATCTATCTAATATTTATTTACTGCCTTTCTCCTTCAAAGGAGACCATCTCCAGGGGCGGGAAGAGGACCATTTACCTGCTTTGACCTTGCCGTTGGTGGAGATGGCAGAGATGGAGAGACCTGTAATGCTAGTCACCACAGAGGACATGAGGATGATCAGCCAGGTCAGCCCTGAGGAAGGAAAGAGACAGTGAAGCGGGTTGGAGACTTTGTCATCTAAATCCCATTGTTTAATCTGCCCTCTGTTGCCTTTCTGTACATATTCCTGACGTTCTTCCTTTCCTCTTGTCTTGCTGGATAGTCTTGGGAGGTGCAGGTTGTTTTCTGGCGATGCCTGGATTTTCTGGGATGCTTCCTTACACTGCCATGTAGGTCAAGGAAGGAGGGAGGGCCAGGCAAGGAAGCTTCCCTCTGCCATGGAGCCAGATGGGGTCAGTAGCGAGCCACACCCTAAGCTCCCCAAACACCTGTTGGGGTCAAGCAGTAGCTTCTGCTGTTACTGGGGAACAGAGTGGCCTGATTTTCACCCAGTTTTTGCTCTGCATCCCATTCAATTTGACCTGAGAACTTTTTGACTTGAGAACCGCCTTCCAATATGGATTAAGTTCTCAAGTCAAGACCCCACTGTACTGGGGAACAGAGTGTCCTGATTTTCACCCAGTTTTTGCTCTGCGTCCCATTCGTTACTTACTATTATTATCGTAATTGTGTTTGAAACAGCAGCTCCTACCCCTGCCCCCAAACAGTAGACATTTATAACTTGTTTTTTAATTGTATGTACCTAGATGTGGCTGAAAACCTATAAAGACACCCATGCCAGGGAGTCAAGAAGGATTTTGCAAAACATTTTGGGGGGCAGGGGAGGTGGCAAGAGAAGCAAAACTATTCCTTCAAAAGAAGAAGCATGTGCTTAACATTCGCCTCCGGCTTTTAATGCATTAAAATGGATAGCTTCCTGGTTTAGGCACCTGGCTGCAGAGCCAGAGGGTTGGGTGTTCGATTCCCCCTGGGCCTCCTTGACTTGATGATCCATAGGGTCTGTCTATTTATTTATTTATTTGATCTGTATCCCGCCCCTTCTATCTCTGCAGTTCTAAGATTAAGATAAAAACCCACGTTACCTATTCCAGCCTGTGCTGTTATCCACGGCAAGCGGAGATAAAGGATCACACCCCAGATGTTCAGCATGCACCGGATCTTTGGGAAGGGAAGAACACAAAACTGAGAACCTAAGAACAGAGGTATGATCATGTTGTTTACTTTTAAAAATAATCTAAATTTAAGGATTTAATTTAGTAGGGGAAAAAAACCCTTTCTTCCTACTAGGAACACTTACTTGGTCTCAATGATCGGGTCACCGCAAGGCTCCCATTTGTCAGTGCCACGCTGGCATTTTTCAATCCATCCATCCATCCATCCATCCATCCATCCATCCATCCATCCATCCATCCATCCATGCATGCCTCCATCCATCCATCCATCCCTTTCTTCCCCTCCAGCTTCTTCCCAACTATGTTGTGCCTCTCTACAACTAGGTATCTTTCTGATTCTAATAAAACCCCTCATTTCATTAGTTGACTTTACCATGACGCCAGTCACCCAGCCAAAACGGACAGGTTCAGGTTCTGGTTCCTCGTCTTCCTCATCTTTATCTTCTCCATCCTTGGTTCCAGACTCCGGATCAGTCTTAGCCTGAATACATAACAAACAAACAAACAAAAACAACAGGTGGGAGGAGTTAAATACATTCTGTATCCCCTAGGGATGGTGTGAAACTTCCCCCGTTTCAGAGCAAAACTCTGTTTTGTGGATTTCATATAATTTTCATATATGTCTTTCTTTGTATGGTGGATGGAGGAAAAGCCCTTATCGTTGAGAAAACAGAGAACATAATTTCTATTTGAGGGCGAATCAAAGGTGGATCACTACCCTAGATAGCCCAGGGCAGGGGGTACAGAAACTGCTCCTCTGCCACTCTGTACTAATGAACTACTGCATCCATCATCCTTCACTATTGGCCATGTTGGCTGGGGCTGATGAAGCCACCCTTCCCCCATTGCATGCCTCTCACCGGTTCTGCATTCCGGAGCATATCCAGCGAAGGCCGTATTTTCCGACGCCCCGGCGGTGCTGAAAGGGCATAGAATTCATACCGTGGGCAGGCATCGATTGTGCTCTCGTAATCTGGCGGGGCTGAACCATTTTCCTCCATTTGTGAGGGAGGTGCATGTTCCTCTGGGTGTTTGGGGGTACCTCCATTGGCTTGGTCTGAAGAAGGAGTCCCACTCTGTAACTTCCGAATCTTGAACTTTCCAAGTGAAAAGACAGTCTTATATGACTCAGAGTCCTCCATTCTCTAACTGAGATTGTTCTTGTCACTTGTCTGGGTAGATACAAAGGAGGAAATTTGGAGAAACTGGGAGTTAAAAGCAGAGCTTAATTTCAGTCATGACTCAACAGTTCTTCGCTCTGGAAACATTCATTCATAATATTTTTTTTTACCCCTCAGTTCTCCTTAAGAAGAAACCAAAGCAACTTACTTGATTAAAACACAATATTTAAAGCTTAAAAACAGTAGGTTTACAAAACCCTGAAGGGATCAAAGAAATACCACACAAAAAAGGCAGTAAACAAAAGCAACACCAAAACCACATTCAAAGCAATACGGTACAACCATCCATCCATCCATTAAAAAAAAAAAATCCCACTCAGGCAGCCAACCACTCAGGGAAAGCTTGTCTGAAGAGATATGTCTTCACCTCTGGGTGGTTCACGACAGTAAAGAAAAAATAAATATAAATAACAAAATCAGATAAAAAAGCAGTATAACTGATAATGTGGTCAATGCAGCAATATAAGCAACAACAAAATTAACAATAAAATTTAAGCATTCATTTTTTTTTCTTTTTCTCGGATGGGAGATGTCTGATATCTTTTTAGGAGGATCTCTCTCAGCCCAGGAAAATGTGAATTCACAAGAAAGGCACAAGTCCTTATTCACCACAAGAGCACACACGTGACCATGCACAAAGTGTCTTCTTTCAACCACCAATAAGGACAACCAGCCTTCATTCATCTGGGGCTGGGGAAAAAATTGTGTTATAGGCTAGGCTAAGAGTTGTACTAAAAATTTTCCCTGGAATTAGCCATAAAGAGGATTTGGAAGACTGCAAACTTGTAACAATGAAAAATCAAATTCAATTTTGTCATAACTTAATAAATAAATAAAATAAATAAATAACAATGAAAAATCAAATTAAATTTTTTCATAAACATCCACATGTAATTTTCCTTCTGCTGAAGAGATGAAATGGGAAAAGTTTACACCCTTTCTTTGCAGCTGTATCTTAAAAACTAGAAACCTTTCAAATCCATGTTGAGAAGCTATTCTCTGCATCCAATATAAAATCTCCTACACAGTGGAATAATAGAAGGTCACTTTATGCCCAGCTTTGGGTAGTGTTTTCAAATTTATTTGAATTGTGTCTGGTTCGGTTATTTCTCCTTCTCATCTCCTTTTTCTTATTTTCTAAACCTAAAAACCAAGACTCCTACGACATAGATTCTAGACACGACATAAATCTTCGTGTTTGCTCAGAATCATCATCATCATCCATCATGTGTCATCAAGTCAATTTTGACTTATGGCAACCCTTTTCAGGGTTTTCTAGGTAGAGGGTGCTCAGAAATTATTTACAGCGCCCCCTTTTTCTGGGGCACTCTATGACTTTGCAGCTTGCCCAAGGCCACTCAAACTGGTTCTACTCCTAGGAGCTATATTGGGGAATCAAACTCCTGAACTCTGGCTCCGTAGCCAGATACCCAAACCTGTCCAGCATAGATTACACATAATACAGTGGTGCCCCGCATAGCGACATTAATCCGTTCCGGATTAATCGTCGCTATGCAAAAACATCGCTAAACGGATCGAAAAACCCCATAGGAATGCATTAAACTTAGTTTAATGCATTCCTATGGGGCCCAAACTCACCATTCAGTGAAGTTCCTCTATAGTGCCACCATTTCCGCGCCCTCGGTAAGCGAGGGCAGGGCGCGAAAACACTTGCGGTGGCCATTTTGGGCTCTCTGTGGCCATTTTGGAATCACCGATCAGCTGTTGTAAAAACATCGCAATGCGAAGATCGGTAAGCAAAACGCTTACCGATCATTGCAATGCGAGTTTTTGCCTATCTAAACATCGCAATGCGATCGCTTTTGCAATCCTAAAAGCGACATCACTATACGGATTCGTCATTAAGCGGTGCGCCCGTTGAGCGAGGCACCTTTCAGTCCCATAAAACCCTGCTCCATCTATTGTTTCCCTTGCATGATGGCTAGCCCCAGCCTTCTGCTTTGTTTCTTCTCAGACAAGCCAGTTGACAGAAAAAATATTCCTCTGACTTATTAAGGGAGAAGCAAGCCAGAGCACCGTATTTCCCTAGGAAAGCTGAGGAAATCATGATAAGCAAACAATGGATAGAAAGGCACGATTTCTTAAACTATGCTCGTTTGTAGCAGGAGAGAGCAGGCAATGTTCCTCATCGCTGGTAAGCAAAGATTCCAAAGAACGCTCCAAGCTATTTAGACCTTTATTTCTTAATGAATTTCTTTCCCTCCTCGCAATAAGAAGAAAATAATAGGCTGGAAAAAGACAAGGAGGTCACGAGTAGAAGAAAATGTTGCTTATCTCCCAGCAGAAATATGCTGGACCCTTTCATACCAAAGTTCCACCTCAGTCTGACTGCTCAACGCTTGCTTGCATTAACTCCCCTACCTAGATTATGCTGACAGACTCAACAGAAATACGGTGCCTTAAAAACGAAACAGATTTACTGTCTCATAAATCAACCTTGGGCACACTTTAAGGTTGCAAGATCTACTCTGGTTTTTACTTGAATCACAAGGTCTACCAAATGGAGTAAGACTGTTGGGTGGTAAATAAGCAGAGATGGGCCAACCTCTGAGGATTGCAAAACCAGATGTCTTCCCCACATGCCAAAAAAATAGTTTAGAGTTGTTTCACATGTAAAAACCCACATCCGTTTTTTCTTTATTAGCAGCTAATTCAGGCTACAGGAGGTAGGAAAGGGAAGATTTATTACAAGTCCTATTGTTAAGGCAGTTGAGAATCAGAAACCTTTCGGAATCTACTGCCAACCACCAAGAGAGCTACTTGTAGATCCTAGCAAATTGGCTGACTTTTCCACACACACACACACACACCAAAATTCAACTGGTCGAAAATGTGCTATTATTTTGGCTGAAGTGGAATAATGCACCCTCAAGAGCAGCCCTTGTTTGTGAGCATCTTGGTAAACTGAGCTATCTAACAGCTGGAAACAGAATCCTAGAATCCTAGAAGCGTTGAGTTGGAAGGGGCTTCTGAAGCCATCGACTCCGACCCCCTTGCTCAAGGCAGGAATCCGAATCAAAGAATACCATACATAGATGGCTGTTGCCCCTCCGTGGCCAAGCGGTTCTTATTTTATCAAGATAGGTTAGCTTTATCTTCCAGGAAATCTGGACACACACCCTGCTAATTACCTTGTGAAAGTGATAACATCACAAATGCAGCATTTCAGTGCCACTGTGGAGGCATTTTTAAAAGGATAACAACAGCAAAAACACCTACAAATCTGTTCATTTGTGGGAACATTCAATAGGTCCTACCAGGTCCAGAATATCCAATCTTCAGAAAGCCAGTATAATATAAATAATATAATATAATATAATATAATATAATATAATATAACCATGCATCATCTGTTTGATTGTTGTTACCATACCAACAGTCAAGCAAAGTGATTACACCAAGTTTCCCTCTCATCAAAAAAAAAGCAGATGTTTGAGCCATTTTAATACAGTTGGCAAGAGTCAAGATTGTTCTGTGCAGAGTTGGGGGGGGTGAAAGACAGACAGGAACATCAGGGGAGTGGATGGAACATCCTGGGAAGAGAGAAGAAGGGAGAGAACAGGAGGACACAGAACCCGCAGAGATGCAGAAGCAAAGCAAGAGATGGCAGGACAGGTCGCTGGACAGTCCAACCTTGCTTGCATTATTATTTATTTAAAATATTTTTATCCCTTCTCCTTGAAAAAGGAGAACCCCAAGTGGGCTTTCTACCTGCTCCTTCTGAGTGCCTCCACACAGCCTCCGTCTTTTTTTCCCCCCAGGCCAGTGGTTGAACTCCTCTGCTTCTCCTCCGCTTATAAAGGCCCCAGGGAAGGACCGCGGTCTGACACTTCAGAACTGGACCCAACAGCCTCCGTCTGCCTCGATCCTCTCCTTCCATCCATCCATTTATCACCTGCGCCTCCTCCTCCTCCTTCTCCAAACAGACAAAGTTTCCGAGAGCACACAGCTGGAGCTGGGAGGAGACTGCGCCTGCATCTTCTCCTCCTCCCCCCCCAACCTCCTTCCACAAGCAGGCATCCCCTGTTTGCTTGCCTTATCTCCTGCCACAAAGTTCTTTCCACTGGACTGGTTTGCTCAGGGCAATGGAAACTTGCCCAGACAATGGAAGATGGGGAGCCTGGAGCCACAGGGATCTGGGTGGCTGGGCCCACGCTGAGCCCACGCGCCAAGGGACCAAGATCATAGGCAGCGCGGCTGGTGGGGGGTGATAAGGTGAGCCAGAAGGCAACCTCGGATTGACCCTGTCTCTGGAATTTCTATTCAGTGTCACGGCTAAGCCAAGTTATCAAGTGTGAAATTGGAGAAAAGGAGTTAAGGTTTTGCATTGTTTGAGGGAGCAGAGAGGGATTCTTCCATGCAAAGATGCCAGAAGGATTTCCTTAAAAGAGGGGGTGGGCTGAAGCTTAATTTCAATCCACAAACCAGTGGGTCTCAAATAACAGTATAGCGGGGACACAGAAATAGTCTAAGCGGGACAGGGGCGTTTCCTAACACAAAATATTATCTTTATTCATTTGGCTCTTTGAATTTTTAGTCATAGCAGCAAGTTAAGGTTTTGCATTGTTTGAGGGAGCAGAGAGGGATTCTTCCATGCAAAGATGCCAGAAGGATTTCCTTAAAAGAGGGGGTGGGCTGAAGCTTAATTTCAATCCACAAACCAGTGGGTCTCAAATAACAGTATAGCGGGACACAGAAATAGTCTAAGCGGGACAGGGGCATTTCCTAACACAAAATATTATCTTTATTCATTTGGCTCTTTGAATTTCTACTCATACATTTTATACCAATACTGTTGCCATTTTTTTGTAATTAAATTTTTTTGTTTTACTTGCCCGTGGCACTAAAATGTATCTTGTATCCTGTGTTATTTAAACCTGACCTCTCCATTTTGCTTGGCTAAAACTGTGCCTTTGAGAACAGCCCTTACCTCTGGAACAGACGATAATGCTAGGAAAAGTTGAAAGCAGCAGGAAAAGGGGAAGATCAAA